TTACATTGATACATTTGATTACATTTACTATATAGGTTTCTACAAATTTATTTAAATGCACCGTTCAATGCGTTGGGACTCTTTAAAGTCTCTTCTGCTCACCAAAGCTGCATTTATTTGATCAAAAATATAGAAACAGTGAAATATTATTACAATTTAAAATAATAATTTTAATATTTTTAAAAATGCAGTGTATTCCTGTGATGATTTTCAGCATCATTACTCCAGTCTTCAGTGTCACATGATCCTTCAGAAATCATTCTAATATGCTGATTCAAGAAACGTGTCCGATTATTATCAATGTTGAAAACAGTTGTGCTGCTTCATTGTTTTTTTTTTGTTTTTTTTTGTGGAAAACACGATACATTTTTCAGGATTATTTGATAAATGGAAAGTTCAAAAGAACAGCATTTATTTGAAAGGAAAATCTACAATGCAACTGTCTGGAATTAAACTTTGGACATTGTCATACAGGGTTGTCTGATTGACCTCTCTGTTGCCCTCTATGTGAGTGAACGTGTGAAATCACATGTATTGATCAGCCTAATGCAAGAGGAAGAGCCTGCGGCAAGGTGATCAATGCGCTCTTAATTAACCCCTGTGAGTGAGTGTGTGAGTGTGTGTCTGTATGCTGGGGTTTAGGAAGGGTGCTAAACTTTGGACAGGGGTGTATAAATACACCCATCCCAGCTGAAACTTGTGACATTCATGCACATCATCTCGCTTACAGACAGCACTACATGAAAGGCTAACACACACAAACACACACATAGCTAAGCTGACAGTAGGTACTAACACACACTCCATATGATAACAGAACGCTTTCAAGCAAAATGTACCTAAAAATGACAACATTCCGTATCTGAACGATTTCATGGATGGAGCTTCAAAACAGTGAGTATATTGTGTGAGTCTGTGTGTGCTAATGCTCAATCTTTGTAAGTTTATGCATATGAAAATGTTGTGTATGTGTGTTACATCAACATCCTTATTGTTTATTCTTTTTAGAACCTTTTACCTGACCATTGGTCAGGTAAATTATTTAAAATATACACATAAATTACATTTACAAATTGGTAATTATAATTCACAGTGTCCTTTGTTACACGTTATATAGCAATAACAGAAAGCTATACATAGTGTATAATTACACTGTAACAAGGATACCTTAAAATAAACCTAACTTTTAGAAAAAGGGAATCAACCGCACAGCTGATTTGGCACGTTTTATGCCGGATGCCCTTCCTAAAGTTATTATATAAATGAACATATTAAATGTAAAAAGTGCTAGGTTTAGAGAGATCACTAGCTCAGTGTAAAAAAGAATAAGCAGTTAGTGTTGCCCTTTATTTCTTTCCCATCTAGTCTCATGTTTTCTAACTTAATTGCTGTTTCAAAGCTTCTCTGTTGTCTTTCAGACGCTGTAGAAGTTGATGGTGAGGTTCTGATAAGTCAGGGACTGTGTGATATGTTTGATATTCGGTTGCTTTCCTTATATCACGTCAACTAAATATCAGACATATTCCTACAGACTCTGGCACAAATCTTCACATTCGTGGCCTCTCTTCATTCATCATCTCGGGTTCATCAAATGTTTTGTTTTGATCACTTTCTTGATTGTTTCTTGAGCATGATTTCTAGCGTTTGAGCTATAAAATCTTACCTTATATAATGTTGAGAAGGACATGCAATAACAGACTAATTAAGTGAAGAATACAGTTTTTCATGTCTTTCATTTCTTAGTTAGTTACTTTGTTATAAATATAATTTTTTAGTACATCTTATAAAGTTTATAACTGCATGTCTTTAACAACTGATTCCTGAGCAATTAAGCCAAAATGTACAAATAAAGGATCCAAATGAGGGGTTTGAGCGGTGACATAAAATAACCATTTTGGGTTACAACCTTTAAGTGAACTTTTCATTTTTATTTTTTTAAAAGAACCATTTTTTTTTTGTGTAGAACAATTTAATAATACAAAGACCCCTTTTTCCACAACAAAGACCCTTTTGTGGAATAAACTGAAAGGTTCCATGAATGTTAAATATTCTTCATGGAACCCTAAGCCAAGAACCTTTCATTTTAACCCTCTGGTGCCGTTTGGTCATTTTTGACAGACAAATTTTACGTTTTAAATGTTTTTACTTCATCGGAATGGTACGAAACATGGTAAAGGTTTTGGCACCTGCTGGTTAAATGGTCCTGAAAAAAATAGTCACATATATTGTTTGTATGCATTGGAAATGAATGTCCCCTACTGGAAATGTTTGGTACTGCGCACAAACAAATTCTTACTGAAAGCTAATTTGTTTTTTAGATATCAACCTCACATTTGGAACACTTGTAGATTTATGGCTTTGATTTTCTCACAGTTTTAGAGTAAAACGTGTTTTGGAAAATATATATTTCATATACAAATTTAAAAATAGCATTTTTTGTGCCTTTTTCATAACAATAAATGTAAAATTTTATAACTTTTTTTCAAGTTCACTTTTTTAAACTCTTTTCACTTCAGCAATAATCTGCCAAGTGTCGTCTTTAAAACTAACCAAACTTTTAAAGCATTCAAGATTTATGACAGTTTAAGATGGAACTTTAATTTTCAGGTCTATGCTCAAAAAGTGAATAAATGGATTATAACTACTGCATAAATATAATTTAGTACCATACCATCCTCTAAAAATTAGAAAATATTGCTGAACACAAAAGAGGATATTTTGAAGGATGTGGGTAACCAAACAGTTAATGGGCCCCATTGACTGTGCATTAAATACTATGGAAGTCAATGGGGTCCATCAACTGTCTGGTTACCCACATTCTTCAAAATATTTTCTTTTGTGTTCAGCAGAAGAAAGAAATTCATACAGGTTTGAAACAACTTGAGGGTGAGTAAATGATGACAGAATTTTCATTTTTGGGTGAACAATCCCTTAAATTCTTACAACATACTAAAATCACATTTAAATAACTTGCATTTACTCATATAAGTTAGGCTAGACATGTATGTCAGGTTTCAATTGTCAATAAGTGAAACTCACATATGAGAAAAAACATGTGACAAACAGTTGTTGGTGTTCTCATATGCACAAATCAACCTAAATTAAAGTTATAATTGTTCAATACAAAAATATTAGGCTATATTTTCATTCAAATAGTCTAATTCAGGGCTATTCAACTTGGACCAAGTAATCAAAATGGCGTAGGTTGAGTTCTGTGACTTTTAGCATATTTGTCCACTATAAATTACCAGTGTTTATAGATTACATTTTTAACTTGTAATAAAAAAGATTTTCACCTATAGCAGGAAAACGGCCCACTGGCCGTCCATTTAATAATCTTGGACTAATTTATTAATACTACAATCTCACATCATTGGCATCGACTGTCTAACAGGAGCATTGGGTTTTACCAAAACTATAAAAGCTCACGATAGAATGACTCTATAGTTCAATTGCCATGACTGTCTTCGTTCATTTTTCGTTTGTTCTTAGCCAGTAGCGTTTGTGCGTGTGTGTGTGTGTGTGTGTGTAAGCGATGCTTAATGATTTTAACCTTTAACTCATGACTAAGCAAAGTCTCATAACTAAGCCAGAGTTTATGTGCTCAATTTACGTCAGCTATACGTTTTTAACAGGAAACTGCGTACATGCTATTTCAGTCTAAATAATGTTTTACATGACGCAGAGAAAGTACTGTATATGCCTCCAGGAACTGAACTTGGTCTTTTTTATTAGACATTATTACTGATAATTGGTAAAGATGAATTAACATTATCTGTTAACATATTTGCCAGTTTTACTGAGACTAGATGATGTGCACATGGAAAAAACTGCATATTTGAACATTTTTAGCATCAGATGTAGCCTATAAGAGCAGTACGTCAATAATTTGTTTAAAAAAGCACTTTATTAAATGTGTAAAATCTACTAATTCTCCATTGCAAAAATGCCACTGATGGGCAGCTGCATTACAGCACAAACAGATAGATTGTCATAACATTTCATTTCAATATTTTCATATCCCTAAGGATCTGTATGCTCGTGCAATTCACAACTTCTAGCACATGCAATATTTGTAAAAGTTATAAGTTACTATAAAATGTTATCGAAATGTCCTTTATGCAATATATTCACTATTTTTGGGATTATGAAACAATATATTTTAGCCCTGAATATGTGAGTGTATGATAGGTGAACACAAAAATTGTTAGAAAAGTATCTTTGCAAGTATTTGTTATCAATACACACAAAGATGAATTTATCATGTTCTAATTCACTGCTCACTTATGAGTATGGCTTGAAGGGCCAACATCATGCGATAGACATTTCCACCACAGTTACACATTAAATAACACCCAGATTAGTGTAATTACATTACATACATGATTACATCGATAAGATGAGGCCATATCGATTTTGACCCTGAGTAACTACTTGTCATGCTATATTTGACAAGCTTTTTTTTTTACTAAATGTGTTCATGCACAGTTTTACCTGACAGCTTGATACTTGTTTGACTAAAGAAAAAGGCCTTTACTCTTATTCCCTTCATTGTTGGAACCTCTAATGTTATCTGTGCATGAAAACACAAGAATAATGTGCATTGTCTCTTGAGATAAGTAACTGAATTCATTTCTATTTAAAGAAATAACGGTGTTGAAGAAATCGTGCTGTGTGTGTGTGTGTGTGTGTGTACATGTTTTTCTATCCCGGTGGGGACTTCAACCTGAATGCACACAGCCTCATGGGGACTCACCTAAATTGAGGTCCCCATGACGAAACAAGCTTATAAATCACACAGAATGAGTTTGTTTGAAAATGTAAAAATGCAGTTCAAGTGTTTTATGATGGGTAGGGGTAGGGGTAGGGGTAGTGTAGGGGATAGAATATACAGTTTGTACAGTATAAAAACCATTACAAAGATATAGTGAACCCGACACGCGTGTGTATGCGTGTGTGTGTGTGTGTGTGTGTGTGTGTATGCGTGTGTGTGTGTGTGTGTGTTTCTGTGAAGTAGGAGGGTCACAGAAGTATAAATATCAGAGATCATAGAGCATCATCACAATAAAACTGAAGAGACTCTGAAGGAATCCAGAGGACAAAACAGAAAACCTCTATTAAAACAAGATCCACAGGGTAAGGTAAGAACTGTATTTCCTCTTATCAAGTCTTAACTTTCTTTTTACATATCTGAATCTGTTTTGGATCCATTTCTTAGTGTGCCAGGGAAAACAGATAAAAAATAAAGATATATAATGATACAAGACGTAAGTATTGTATAAAGGATCTAAAGCAAAATAACTACAGTAATAATAATAAGAATAAAATAGTTTTAAAGTACATTTATTTTTGCTATATTTTTACTTTTCAATCCAAAGTCAAATGTAACTGTAAATGTAATGTAATACTATATTAGAGAGCGATGAAAGACCCAGTCAGTTACGGATGTAAAATATATTGTTTTTCATCAAGCAAAAGTATTCTCAGAGCATACGCTCAGAACAGTTAGATTTACAGTTCATGAATGTAAAACAAACAAACAAAAACAGAATGAAATCAAAGCTTTAAAACGAAGTGCGGTATACATACACTCTTAAAAGAAAGGATTCTGTCCGGTGCTTCATAGAGCCTTTTAGAGGTTTCCATCATGGAATCATTTTATGGATTTCGTTTTAATTAATTAATTTAGTTGTAATGCATGTTTTGTTTTAATTCCATTTTATGAAGCAGATTGTAAATACCTTATCACTAGAAAAAATCTGAATAACCCGTTAATCATGAAAGTATTATGCAAACATTTAAGACATTTCTCCTTAGAAACTTTGTGTTCTTTAAAACGGAGCTAGGGTTCTATATAAAACCCCACTGAACTTTGTTTCTGTACAAACATTATGGTTTACATCAATTATTCGTAATAAACACTGAATAATAATAATAAGTATTATTATTTTTATAGATGGGTTCAAATTTACTGCTGATTGCAGCCTTTCTGCTGAGCGCATTTGCTCCAACTCTCTGTGTGAACCGAGGTGGAGAGTGCACGTTCAACACCAAAGGTACTTCACCGGGCATTCGTGAGTTTGTGTTTAATGCACCACACGTAGAGAGATAAATCATCAATCGTATTTGTGTTATTTTTAGGCACCTGTGAATATCAAGGACAGGTCTTCGGCATTGGTGAGAGTTGGATTACTAAGGACTGCTACCAGTGCGTGTGTATGGAGCCCATTGGAGTGGGCTGCTGCGATTAGTAAGTACTGATAACTTATTTTTGAAATCTATACCTTATACTGTAAAAAAAAAAAAAAAAAAAAAAAAAATCTGTACAATTTACAGTAAAAAATTACTCCCAGAACTTTACCGTAAAAATTTAGTAGCAACATTTTAGGTTTTAAGGATGAAACTTAAATCTACAGTAAACAGTTTTTTTTTTAACTTTAAACTAACCTACTGAGGTACAGTACTGTTTTGTACAATGACAACCACCAAACAACACATCAGTTCATCACAGGAAGCTGAGGTACCTACATATTATGCAATAAACATTATTTAAATGCTTAACATGAAACCCTAACGTACATAACTGATTTAAAAAAAAAACTAAGAGACATAATTAGTTAAATAAAAAACGATCAAATTTTAAATGCCACACTGGAAATGTCACTTTTTCCACTGTAAATTATAAGATGGCTTGTTTTTCATTTCCAAAAACTGTATTTTACGGTAAAATTACATGTCCTGTTTGATTGCATTTTTTCACCGTATATAAGGAAACATACTGTAAACAGTTTTTATTTTTATCATACCATTTGTTGTCTTTTACGGTTAAAAGATGGAGCATATCTACCAGCACATATTCAGTGTGTGTTCGTTCTCACCCTGACAGCAACTCCCAACCATTAGATTATCCCGACTGGTGTGAGGTCATCAGAAAGCCTGACTCCTGCACCAGTGTGACTGTGATGAGAGCCAATCACAAACTCCCTTGTCTTTATGGGAAGTGGGGCCGGATGCGACCTGATACATGGAAGTCTGACAATGAATTAATGTTCTAGAAAGAATTTGAAATATCGCTAATTCACGTTTGCAATAATTGTTCATTTTATGTTTTGTGAATTTAAAAGGATGTACTGTTATACCATTTTTACCATTCTATTTCAGAGAATTATTAGTTCTCTGCATCAACATATTATTTAGTTTTAATGTTCAGACCTGAATTATATGTTGATATAGAGAAACAATAATGTTACTATAACTTTATGTTTAAAATCGGCATTAAACAGAAGTTGCAATAGTCTTTCTTCTCTATTGTGACATGTATAACCAAATGAAATGGCTTCTCGAACAAGAAAAATATGTAGGACGGGACTTGATTTTGTCTATCAGGATTTGTTTGGATGGTTGTGTTATTGCTGTGATGTCATGTGAGTGACAGGTTGCCTCGCCCTCGCACCAGTAAACATCATCAGAGAAGAGAAGAGATGTCACTGCAAGAGGGAGGGGAAGTTATTTTGATTAAAGATTATAAGGGCACATGCATTAAAAAATGTGCACAGATAAACAATTTAAAATAAATACTGCAATATTCCATAAAAAAAAACAGGTGTCAATTTTGATTTTATGTAACTTTAGATAAGGCTGCGATGCACAGTGATATAATTCTCAGCCATTTTAAAACTGAAAAGGTTTGCTTATCAATAAAACATGGCACTTTATAAAATTGCATTTAATCTATAATATCATTTTGATATTATCAATATTGATATTGGGAACGGCAGTTTTTTTCATGTGTGATATACATATTGGCAGCTGCAGCACTGAGTACAAATAGAATTGATCTATAATTGCACTAATTATACAAATTATAGATAAATATCACTGGATCGGTTCCATAATTGTCGATGCTCAAATATTTAACTAAACAACTGTTGATTTCATGTCACATTTGTATTGTTTTTCTTGTGGGTGTTTTATTTTCTAATCATTTTCCATGTGGTTTGCAATTTTTTAAATATGGGGTAGGTCTAAACACAGTTTGTGTGACCTTACAATATTTAACATTGAACAAACATTTAAATTAAATATACAAAATGTATAACATTTAGCCAAAATGGGTTACAGGGTTATAAAGTCAGCCTAAGCGGTCACAAAATATTAGCTCGTTTACTGATAAACTTTCATTTCCAAAAATATTTAAGCAACAAAATGGATTAAGGCTTAGCTTGACAAAAGCAGCCAGCATAAAAATTATAAATTGAGAAAGTTTTCATGACTAAATATGGCATTATTTTTCATTAGTTAACATCTCACTGCAATTAATTTAATATCAATTCAAAAATCATTTCAGAATTATTATATTGTTGTAAGCTTTTAATTTTAATATTGATCTAATATGTAATGGGCCAACAAAGTACCGTATTCGTCGAATGTGCCAATTAATATTTTTGTCTTGACTAGATGCCAGCAGCAGAAGATCTCTTTCGATTTCCTCTCCTCTGTCAAGCATGTGTGTTGAAATCTGATAGGGTGTCGATGCACGCTCACGCTGCCTGTGGTGGAGCGTTGCAATAAACATGAACGTAAACCTAAAAGCTGAAGGTGGTAAACTCGGTCAGAATAAAAACGTTCGACCTTTGATTACCTAGAACCTCTCGGACACACACTGGAATGCGAAATATTCAGCCAGGTGTGTTTTTCTGCCCAGGAGTCACATGATAAGCCTGAGCCATCACGTGTCAACGTTCAAGTTTCAGGAAAGTTTTCATTTCTTGGGGGGGAAAACACCTCCTATCTCTCGCCCCTTCTGCATCATTATTGGTTATTACTCAGCGCTGTTCTTTTTGATAGGTCCAAACTCACGTCAGTCAAGCGGCTGACGTTCTGACCACGCCTACTTCTTTAACCTGGTTTAGAGTAATTGATATCGTTTCTGAAGCGAAAGACTTGTAATTTCATCCGCATGAACTCATAGACATGGTGTCCGAGCCACAGTAATATGTAAAGGTGAGTTGATACATTTGCTATTACCATGATAAACGATCGTTTGGGGGTGAAATATCCCGTTGAAAAGACAAGTGTCAATGAACAGGCACACAGCGTTCAAGGTGTTTGCCGACGTTACTCACAGTTTTCTGTTGAATATAGACGTTTATGTTTGCACTTAATATTTATTAAGTGATGTTTTTTTTAGTCTGAGAGATGTGTTTGTCTTTCTGGGACTTCAAATGTGTGTCATGCATGTGTGTACACATAGTATGTGTCCTTGTGCTCATGACAGTTCTTGCTACAAGAGGCCAATTAACATGATGTTCTTGACAGTTGTTTTTATATTGGCCGCTTAAATGACATATTTACTAGCTTATTCACCGTTTACAGTGAACCACCACAGACACTAAAAGTGACAACAGAAATCTGCATAAAACGTATTTAATATTTACCCATATATAAAGCATTAAATTTGGGTGAGTTACAGAAAATATGATAGTTAGTTTTTAAACTTTAAAACTGCAATTAGACTTTGTTGAGCTTTGTTTAATTAACACATGTTTTGGGGTAGTTTACTAAGAAGATGGAGCAGATTTATGCTTACATATAAATGTATTGGAGAAACATATTTTAGATTGTGTAATCATTTTTCAGTTCAATTAAATAGCCCTCTATTGTGACAAATGAATGAATAAAAGTAAAAATATAGCTGGAAGCAGCAATTAAGGGGCCAAGCACCACAGAGGCAGGACGAGGAGCTAAAAATCAAGGCCGCAAGCATCAGACCAACTGGAAAAAAATGAGGAAAAACATTTGGAGATGGTTTTTAAAGCAAAATGGTTGAAAGCACACAAATACAATCACTTGTAATGTGACATAATTGCTTATTATTATTTGACCAATAGGTGGCACTGACACCAAATTGATCAGATGGGGTTCAGTGTTTGGTGACAATTTTTCGAATTTCTTTTTGTGTGTGAGATTTTTGGTCAAACTGTAGAAGCTATTAGAAAAAAAGAGCATATTTCGTGACTAACTATACAGGTATCCTCAGGTCATGGTTGTCATACACCAAGTTTGGTCAGAATACGCGAAAGCGTTGCGGAGATATAGCCTCATGTCCATTTTGGCGTGTTGTTCATAGAATTTTTTCTCACGTTAAATGAAAACGTAGGCTATTGAAAAATTGACTTGAATTCCATAGATTTTTTTCAGCAAGGTCTAAGAAGGATCTGATTAAATTTTTGTTAAAACCGGTGCAACAGTCTAGGAGGAGTGTGAAAAGTATGTTTTTCAAGAAAATCAAAATGGCAGGCAGGAAATTCACCCGACTATGGAAAAATTGGTATCTATGTTCTCACATTGACCCAAGGATTCCATTAAGATCCATTACAATATGAACAATTTATCAAAAACTATTAGCATTTTTAAAAAATCTCATTATAATTCTTGACCACTAGGTGGAACAGCCCTGAAACTTTTTCAGTACCTTCAAGGCATGGTGCCAATGACACATACTGAGTTTCGTAATGATATACGCCAATGCGTTTGTAAAATATAAGCCTGACTTCATCATACTCATATTCTAGTCAGAATGTGAGTCTGATACTGCTCCATAGGGCTTTGATTATGAGGCGTGTCTTAACCGAACTAGGAAAAAAAAAAAACTCTGCACTCAATTGGATATACCTACAACCAATCAGGGCAACGCAGTAAGTGTTTTTTTTATGAGCTACGCAAATTGTCAACAGAACTCAACTATACGCACGCTGGAAGAAGTAGTAAAATAATGAGTGTTGCTTATTTTTTACTCCTCCATGAGTGCGACCAAAGGAGAAACCACAACGACCACAGGGATTTCATTGTGTCCCATCTTCTTAGCAACCATTGGAGCCAGCTGATAAAATAAACTTTTGCTGAATCCCGTAGTAAGGACGGCAAACACATCTTTCCGATCGACAAATGCCTTGATTGCAGTTCTCTGTTCGTCTTTTAAGGTTAATGCGCTGTCGATTATTTTTACAACAGACGCGATAGCGGAATCTACCTTTCAGTTCTCCTGCTGCAGTCATCTTTGAGGGAAACCAGTTCAACCCAAGCGCTCTTTGATAACGTGATGATTACGTAACTGCAGATCATCTGTCCATCATCGTATAAAGCCCGCCCTGGCAATTTGATTGGCCCGACTAATTCTGAACCGATCATAATTACTCTTCAATGGATCGAGTCCAGACCGAACTTCCCGACCAAAAAATGTTGTGGGCGGGGTTCGGGCTGGCATCCAGGCTAGTAAAATATAGCATTTTACGACAAAATTATAAATGGGGTATCATCTATTTTCAATTTCAATAGCCTCAGGACATGGTTGTCATCATAACACACACCAAGTATGGTTAAAATTAGGGCTGCATGATTAATCGCAATCAACATGAAATCGAGCTTAAACCGATTTGGTTTATTGCGATTATGAAATCGCAAAGGCTGCGCCACTGTGATTATTTGTTATGCGCAGCTTGGCGGTGACGTATGGCTCTGTGATCAGTAGTAAATGCTGCTCCATCTGAAAGCACTGTGAGTTTGAGTCGCTTATAACGTGCATTTGAAAAAGCAACATGCATCATGATCAAACATATTTCCAAACATGAGAAGCATTTAGGAACCTCTTGACCAACAAAAGACAACATTTAATAAATCAATCAAAGCGTTTCAATCTTGTGTTTATTCAGCTACAGCGATAGTATGATGCCCATAAGGATTTCCTGGAATGACGTGCGTTGTCTACTTCTGCGGCGGGGCATATTTGGAGTGGCTGCGCGAGAGCGTCCTCTCAATTTCAGAAGGAACAGCATTTACTGCTGATCACAGAGCCGTACTTCACTGACAAGCTGCGCATAAAATAATCGCAGCCTTTGCCAAATTGCGTGCGGTTTCAAGAGTTAGAAAAAGTAGGTTTTTCAGAAAATTCAAAATGGACGAATAATTTTGTCACTAGCCTTTACGGTTCAAAAGTTATTAGCATAAATGTAAGTGAAACTTTGGACAGTTGGTGGGGCTAGAGGGATTGAGTTAGAGACTCCAAAATTGCTATGGTTAATGCTCAGACTGTTCTATATCTGTGTGCCAAATTTCACAACTTTTTACCATACGATTCTATGGGCTGTCATAAACTTCAAGAGTGGAAGAAGAAGAAGAAGGTGCTTTGCCCCTAAAGATTCAATGTAATTGTGCGGCCAATTTGGGGTTATAAATTGCATGCATAACAAGATGCTATTTAAAATGGTTTAGATGTACTAACACACATTACACTTCAACTTCTCTTTTCTCTCTTTTTACCAGAATGGACACCAAAATACCTCCAGACATGAACAGCGCCGACTTACCCCAATGACTTTAGTCAATTTAGTTTTTGAGAATGAATGTGAGACAGAAAACGAGAAGCATGGAAGAGGAGGAATTAACTGAAAATACCATGCGGCTTAAGAACATAGTTCTGTTTCTCAGGTAGCTATTTATAAGAGGAGGAAGAAATGTTTTAGTAGATGTACACGCCGTCACTAACACACTACCACTATTTTCATGCTTGATTTGGTAGACACTGAAACCATTTTAAGGTAGTGAAAACAGTGTGATAAAAAAGAAAGAGGTTTGGGTACAACAGCAAGGCTTAGTGTAGATTCAAAACATACTAATATTTAAAAAGCCAATCAGAAAACAAGGAGTTGTGAAACATGGATTTTGGTGAAAGCACTCTTTGTGGAAGTGGAGACCTGGAACTGGATCCAGATATCGTGAGTGAGGAAGCGGGGAAACTCTACTCTGAGCTACAGGTAACCAATCAAGAGTGTCCACCTTAACACGCTCGCCAATCAAAAGAACTTTAAGAACTTTATGAAACGGAAGTTGCAATAGTCTTTTCTTCCATATTGTGATGAATATCCGAGTGAAACGGCTTCTCGAATAAGAAAAAATGTAGGGTGGGGCTTGATTTGGGGAATTGTTCGGGAATTGATCGGATGGTTATGGTTTGCTATTGGTCGATCTGATGTGAGTGACAGATTGTCCCGCCCTCACGCTGAATAACACGTCATCAGGGAAGAGATGTCACTGCAAGTGGAGGGGGAGTCATTGTAGTTAAAGATTATGAGGGCACATGAATTTGTTCAAAAATAATATTTTTTAATTTATAATAAATACTGGAATATACTATAAATACTCGATTTCATGGGGACTTTAAAGCTTTAGAGCCATTTTAAGCATTTGACCCTCACTCAAGCATATAAAACAGAAGTTCAGAGCAGATGTTTTGCTGACTTTTCATAAGGGAAGTCAACCATCGTATTTTTTCCTTTACAAGCATAAGTCATAAGTACTGCTCTTCCTGTGAGTGCAACTGCCAACTAAGATAAGAGAATTAAATGTGATCGGGAGGGAAAAACCAACAAAAAACATCAGAAGCAAACAAATACAATTCAAACGTTTTTTTTTTCTTTGTAGTCAGTGGTGGAGACTCATGGAGCTGGAGTGGTGGAGTCTCTGCTGCCCATCCTCGTCTGGGTTCTGGAAGGGCTGGCGAGCTGCAGGGCTCAGCTGAGAGAGAGAGAGGACGAGGCAGAGAAGGAGAAAGGAGAGAGTGAAGAACTGCTGCAGAGATATCAGAGTGAGAAAACACTGAGGAGAGAGAGCCAGGAGGTGAGAGACAATCTGTGTGATGAACTGAAGCTCTTTTGTGAATTGCCTTTTTGGATTTTTAGAAATTTTAAAGTCCCCCTGTAGTCAATAACTTTATACCTTAAAACACATCTTTGATCACCAAAATGACATATTTAAATGTTGTTGTTTTTTATTGAAAAAAAAAAAATAGCTTGAATGTAACTCTACACCCTTGCATCATTTAGTATACGCGGTTCTATGAATATGCAAATTAGCCCCGCCTCCACTCACTCACACCAGTTCAGAGATCCACACCTTGACGTGATTGGTTACAAGGTAGTTTGTGACGTCAGAAACACCAGCGATTTCAAACTGCATTTTTTGAGACTGTCTTTGGTTCACTGCAGTGTTAAAGTCCCCCTGTGGTGAAAATCACGTTTTTAATGTTGTTTATATGTCTGTGTGGTGTTTTTAATATGCTTTAAGACAAATCATGTGTAAATTCACAAGTCAGCACCATTGCTGAGTGTTATAAATTGCCACTGCTGACACCTATTTGCATAGGATTAAATATATTTATTTTTCAATTTCTTTATTTTAAAACTTTTTGCAATGAGGAAAAATTGGACCTTTTAAATTTAAACACCTTTAAAACATTAAACCTTTCTGTGTACCGTCAGCGCTATTTGGAGTTGGATGACCAGTTTGAGCAAGAGAGGAGAGCAATGCGTGCGAGAGAAAAGGAGAGAGAAAAGAGAGAAAGAGAACTGGAGAAGAAAGCCAGAGAACAAGCTGACCAATGTGAGTCTCTCCTAATTAAACCTTGCACCCTTCTGCCCTCCCTCCCTCTCTAGACTGTTTATACACACATTAGCATGATGTATATAAATGTTTTAAATATATGACCTAAGTCTTTTCCATGTAGTGATGGCTTTGGAGGAGCAGAAAGCAAATCTGACCCGAGAACTAAACTCAATCAAACACACACATAACAAGGTCCGTCACCACTTAAGTCTGTGCGTCTGTTTTAGTTTTTGGTTACTTTACATTTCTATTTCTTAAAATAATTTTTTAATCCTCTCTTTTAAAATCCAGTTAGTACAACTGACACATCGAGATCTGCTGGAAAAGAAAAAGGAGTGGGAGAGTGAAGCCTCCACTTTCAGGTAACCCTTCCCCTTTTTTAACAGGTAATGGAAGCCCACAGTTTGGTACATGTTCCTTGTAAAAAAAACTATAACTTTCGCAGCATTTGAGTAGTTGGAAATGATCACTGTGTTGTCATGTCAGCAGGAATCACGTGCACGGCAAACACTCAGAAGCTGTTCCTACACAAGGCCAAACAGAAACCACCTGCACCGAAGAGGTGATTTTATTTTAAATTCAGTGGATAGACGCTTAACAGTCCAGAACAATTCTATTCTATTTACATTAATAGCTAGTATAAAACAATAAATATCTTGATTTTCACAAAGCATCTCTTTCAGCAACATGGTCCTAAAGCTGGCTTTGGCCCTGATTCCACTGTGTCAGAAACTACCATTACCAATGACAGCAACACGACTGATGCTGAGGTCAACCATAGCGATGAGCAATCCTTTGTCAGTGACATCATAAGCTCCACCCCTGAGCTGGCCCATTTGGAGGGCTTTATTGAAACAAGGTACAGTAATTTATAAGGGGAGACTGTATTATACTGTATCTTCCAGTTTTGATGATATTGAATATATAATTTCTGTATACTATATATATATATATAGGAATCCTGAAAAACAATTATCTATTTTTTCACAAAAGTATTAAGCAGCACAACTGTTTTCAACACTGATGATAATAAGAAATGTTTCTTGAGCAGCAAATCATCTTATTAAGGAATACATTACATTTTAAAATATATGTTTTTAAAATTTATATTTTTAATTGCTATAATATTTCACAATATTACTGTTTTTTTTTTTTTTTTGCAATATTTTTTATCAAATAAATGCAGCCTTGGTGAGAATAAGAGACTTCTTTCAAAAACATTAAAAAGCTTACTGAAAATCTTACTTGTAGAATTAAATGCCACAAAAATATTTGTGAATTCCATAGAAAATGTTCATACTGTAAAGCTCGTTTAAGGCTTGGGTGTCAAGTAAAAAGCTTTCTGGTTTTCTTTTCTTTCTTCTTTGTCATGCACTTTTCTTTTTGTCTTGCTGAATTCAGGAAGTGAGTGGGAGTTTGTTTATCTGTTAATGCCTGTAACATCCTGTGGATGTTCTTTTGATTTAATTTTAAGTCAAGTTAGATGATTTTTTTTTTTTGTCATTTGTCTCCTGCATGGCGGAGAAAAATATATAAATGCAGTCTTATCAGTTGATTGCATTTCTCAAATACCCATAATTAATCTATTTCCCTTAAACATCTGTTCTCTTTCTGTCATCTTTTCTGTTCGTCTGTTTGTCTTTGCTCTTTCCAGCTCCCCTGTTTGTTCGAAGACCGCGACCTCTGGACTAAACTCTAGTTTGTTTAAGGAGATGAAACATGCTCAGGAGGATAAGAGAGAGGTAGATGAAGACCAGAAGGTGAAAGATGGAGAAAAACCACAGGAGGAGGAAGAGATGGACAGCGACTCTGATTGCTTGGAGTGGGACTTGAGGAATACAGAGTCTGTGTTTTCAGAGTTATCTGAACTCAGCAGGGAATATGTGGAAAACGTCGACCAAGGGGCCAGCATCAGAGGTGTGTGTGTGTGTGTGTGTTAGAAAAAATTTTACATTTGAAAGAAGGAACAGGAAAAAGCATAAAATTCCTATCAACTGCAATCAAATGCAAAAACACATGAGGCTGGCGTGTACAATAATTGAGCAGTTGTGCTTAAATCTTTTTGCATATTTGTTTCGTTTGCAGATAGCACAGACCAGTTTGAGCAGATTCTTTCTCAGTATGAGGAACTAAAACACACTCAGTAAGTTTTTTTTATATATATGTCAATCTTTTTATTGTCAAATTTGAGGTTTTAATAAACCTCTGAATCTCTGATTTTGATCCATACAGTATGCGTTAACCATAACCACAAACGTTTTTTTTTTCCATGCATCCATCCACCCCTGTGCCTGTCTTTGTCTCTGTCTCAGTGAAATGGTGGATACTGCTCGTAAGGCCCTTATATCCCGTGTTGAGGAGCTGACCAATGAAAGATCTGCACTGAATTTGGAACTCGCTTCTTGCCTTGAAACCATCACTCGGCTGGAAGGGAAAACCAAGGAGATGGAGGAGGAAAGCAAGCGGTAAAACAAATGATTGATTCTCACGTAAAACCTTAAATTTATCATAACTTAATTTAGAATTAGCAGTTTACTGAATACTTAACCAAGCAGTTCTTTAAAACGGTGGGAATGATACCGTTTAAAGTCATAAACATTAAATGGCACTGATCCGTATTTTCAGGAACAAAGCATGTGATAAACATTTCATATAGGACTATATGTACTGTCTGGGCTTCTTCGTCCGAAAATGACCGAAAACTTTTACGTTTTGAATTGTTTAATTTTTTTTGCTTCATCGGATGGGGGTGAAACTCGGTGACTTTTGTTGTATTACCTATATGAACACACAAAAAAATCAAGGAGATTATTCTGATATGTTAAAGGGGACATATCATGCTAAATCCATTTTTTTAGCCCTTAAATGGATTTTGTTGTATATTTGAAGTGTTTAGAAGTACAGAAAAGTTTAAATTATTCTCTTCAGGTGCTTCGTTGATATCTTTATATTCTATTTTGGTCATATTTTTCAACCTGTTCCGATTTTTCTGTTCTCTATGACGTTTTTTGAACTATTACGTCACAGTATTTGCAGCGGAACTGCCAAATAAGGACATCGACTTCCGGCCCACCACTTCGAGCAATCCGCCATTTTTATTTCTCGCTGCAATTTTGTAGTCCAAGCTAAAGGATGCAGAACTTACGAGAGGGTAAGTTAAAATGTTCGGTTGTTGGATGTAGTAACCCACACGCTTCATTACACCGTCTAATGTAGATGAACGGCCGTGCTTGTGTTGTGACAGGGCGCATGTTTTTTAACTGAAAGAACGAGCAGAGAGAGAGACCCGGTCGCGCGCGCGCACTCTCTCTCTTCGGAGCCAGGCGAAAGTTTAAACAAGACTTCACCGTCTCCAAACTAGGCGCTGTCTTGCTCTCTCTCCCTCGCACATATTAATCAAAATAAATCGACACGGTGGTAAAAGGTCGGAAGACCAAAGTTTCATGTGTAAATACAGTAACACACCATTGCGATACATCCATATGAAGACGTTGTTCTGCAGGTTCGTCGTCTTCATTTTCATCTCGCTCCGGCTCCGACTCTGGCTAGAACATGTAAGGCTGGCTGGACAAGTCTTCCGTTGCTGACATTTTGTTAATAACGTGTGAATAAAACGTTTCTGTGCCGCTAGATAATCATATCTCTGCTATCAAACTACAAAAATGGCCGAACGGGGTGGAGTTGAACCGAGTGTTACCGCTACAACCTGGAGAGGGGGCGGGGTATGAAGTGTCTCAATTGTATTTAAAGAGACCGCACCAAAACGAGTTGCTCTCAGACGCACATCAGAAAAGGGGTAGAAAAGGGGCCCGTGGAGCTATAATAATGAGGAATTCAGACCCAAGCATTGCAGTTCCGCTTTATATAGACTACAAATGTATGATTTATGTGTAAAAAGGAACGATTTAAAAGCATGATATGTACCCTTTAAAGGGTTGTAAAAAAAAAAGTCACACTTAGCTTCCTCCTGGTCAAAAATGACCGACATAGGAAATTAATGGGAAATACTAAAAAATAGGAAAACTCAGAGAACCTTTTGATGATACAAGCTACAGATCAGCCACTGTGAAGAAAAAAAGTGTACAGCAATGAAGGGGTGACACTCTAAAACATCAAGAGTGCAAATACGACCCCCCCCCCCCCCACACACACACACACACACACACACACACACACATCCACGCACACATACACAGATAAACTGGCAAGACTGCAACAGCAAATTTGTAGAATATGCAAAATAAAATCAATAAATGAAAAAAAAAATCTTGCTCAAATACACACACACAGAGAGAGAGAGAGAGAGAGAGAGAGAGAGATTAACTGGTAAGGCTGCAACAGCAAATTTTGAGAATATGCACAAAAAAAAAAAAAAAAAAAATTTTTTTAGCAAAATGTCTGTATAAAGTGTTTTGAATTATCACTAACCATCCCTTATTTTGTTCAATTATTTGAATGATCAAATACGGAGTAAAAAAAATGTTTGCATTGTGTTCCCTTTCTAACCAAATGCTATAGTTTGATTTTAATCATAATGCAAAACCTGATACTTATCTAAAAAAAATAAAGAAGTAGTCTTTTAGAACATCTAAATGTATATCTAAATAAAAAAAACGAATAAGATAGAGAAATCATGTCTAAAACAACAAAAGAAATCAAAAAGCCTTTCTATGTATTTAAATAGGAAGCTATAGGCAGCCTACAGGCTGGTACAGGACATTGCACACATTTAACTATTTTTTAAAGCCACTAGATGGCGCTCTTCTACTTGAACATTTTTTTTTTAGGCTGGCACTCTATTTTGATGTGAAATGTTGCATTTATTGAAAACATTTTTTAATAAATATAAATTAAAAATATATATATTAATTCTAATGGAAAAAATACCTCATAGAAATTATATAATTAATGCAAAGTATCATAAAAAATTCTAAATAATAATTAGAAAATATTATAGAACAAAAATATATTTGATTGGTTATCCTGGGAAAAAATAAAGTTAAATTAAGGCTTCGCAAAAGGGAGGAAGCTAAGTGTAACCCATTTACAAAGAAGCCCAGAGGGTTAAAAGTTTAAGGTCAGAAAGATTTTATGTTTTTGAAAGTCTCTTATGCTAAGCAAGTCTGTATTTATTTTATCAAAAATGCAGTAAAAGCTGGAAAATATTATTGCAATCGCAAATAACGATTTAATTTATTGATGTAATTTATTCCTGTAATTTCTGCAGCCATTCAGCAGTCACATGATCTGCCAGAACAAAATATAATTTAAAACCGAAATCTTCTGAAACATTATAAATGTCGTGACTCTTTTTTGATCAATTTAATGCATAAGAGTGTTTGTTTCTTTATAAAAATGAAAAATGTAATAATGACCCCAGACTTTTGAAGTGTAGATTAATAGGAAACAGTTTGTGTTTTGCTTTTTTGGATATTTATTTATGAAATAGCCTTTTATATTTCACAACAGGTTACGAAAAGAGCTAGAGGCAGTCCAGTCAGAGGACCCTGATGTAAGTCTTTATCAAAGATTTCAGGTGCAAGGCACAGGATGCTTATGGATATTACTATTGTGAAAACTCCACTACTAACTCTACTTCCACTTAAAGAAACACGCCGACTTTTTGGGACTTTAGCTTATTCACTGTATCCGCCAGAGTTAGATAAGTCCATACATATCCTTCTCATCTCTGTGCGTGCCGTTACTCTGTCTGACGCACCCACCGCTAGCCTAGCTTAGCACAAATACTGGATGTAAATGGCTCCAGCAAACATACTGCTCCCAATAAGTGACAAAATAACGCCAACATTTTCCTATTTACATGTTGTGATTTGTATAGTCACAGTGTGTAGAAATAACAAGGTCACATGAGACACTGCCATCTTCTAACCTTATACATACATTCTCAGAAAGCGAAGTATTGCAACTAGGATGGAGTGATTTGCTCGCAGCACCTGAGATCACCAGTCACGTTCGCTACTAGCTAGCTAGTCACATTGGTTTTCTTGACGGAAGTAACAACGGTGCTTTTCAGGTGTTGTGCTAATCAAGTAGCAGTGCTTCGCCTTCTGAGAATATAGTTCCCAGTATGTATACGGTTAGAAGATGGCTGTGTCTCATATGACCTTGTTATTTGTACACGCTGTGACTATATAAATCACAACATGTAAATAGGAAAATGTTGGCGTTATTTTGTCACTTATTGGGAGCAGTAGGCTAGATGGAGCCGTTTACCTCCAGTATTTGTGCTAAGCTAGGTTAGTGGTGGGTGCGTCAGACAGAGTTACAGCACGCACGGAGATGAGAAGTGTATGTATGGACTTATCTAACTCTGGGGGATATGGTGAAAAAGCTAAAGTCCCAAAAAGTCGGCGTGTTCCTTTAATCCTAAAACATTGCCTAACTCCTGCCTCATTCTTTTTTGTTCGCCCCAGGCCTCGCTACCGACCTCCCTCCGTCGCTTCTCTCGTTCTGAAATGGCCCGGGTCGTCATGGAGAAAAACCAGTACAAAGAGCGACTGTTTGAACTGCAGGAATCTCTGCGGCGCTCTCAGACTCTAAGGTGTGTTAAAGGGGGGGTGAAATGCTATTTCATGCATAGTGAGTTTTTTACACTGTTAAAGAGTTGGATTCCCATGCTAAACATGGACAAAGTTTCAAAAATTAAGTTGTACGTTTGATTGAGTATTTCTGTTCTCAAAATACTCCTTCCTGGTTGTCACAAGTTTCGGAAAGTTTTTTTCGAGTATGGGCGCGTATGACGTCAGATGCGCCGGAATTTCCATATACGGTCCTAAGGGCACTTCTCTCGGAAGGGCGCGCGCGCAGCTGTAGAGCGATAGCCGTAACCTATGCCCATCAAAGCGCTGTGTGCATCGGCTGCGCTCAATATGTCACCAAAGAAGTGTGTTTTCGGTTGCCAAGGCAAGACAACACTGCACAGATTCCCAAAGAATCAAGCGTTAAGGGACCAGTGGATGGAGTTTGTTTTTCCAGAACATCAACACAGTTGTGCAAGTGTTCTTGTTTGCTCCATGCATTTCGAGGATGATTTTTTTTATAAACAAGGCCCAGTTCGAAGCCGGATTTGCTAATCGTTTAGTTCTCAAGGATGGAGCAGTCCCAACACTAAAGGTTAACGGTCTTGCGTTGAAACTGCAGGCGGTGAGTAGAACTGCTTCAAATATCTGTGTGTGTAACTTAAGCACAGCAAGTAGGCTAAACAACATGATAACGTATAGTTAATGTATCTATGGAGCATGCGATGTATGGTGTGTGTTTGTTTAAATACATTTGTTTAGGTGGCTACTGTAGGTGTCTGTTTGTTTATTGTAAAACCAAATCATGTCTTCATAAACCACGAGTAGACACACACAAATGATCTAAAACTCGCGCATGACATGGTGTTCTAAAAACACAGCGCTCAAGTTCAAATCATTTATAATTTTTAAAAACACTCGATCTGATTCTGGATCAAAAATGTATGGCTGAATTTGATTGTTAGCCATTGTTTGTTTTAGGATGTCACAGCTTCCAGAAGCTCTCAACGTAAAAGCTTCGCGCGCTCGTGATTATTTAGCTCCGCCCACACGGCACGCCTCCACCCGCTCGGCTTTTTCCGGAAAGACTCGGTACAGCCTATCTTTCTTTTATAAATATAATAAAACTAAAGACTTTTTGGAGATATGATGGATGCAATATTACTCTATAGGTAAGATTAACATGAGATTGACTGAAACTGAGTGTTTCACCCCCCCTTTAAACTTCCTCTCCCAGGATGCATATCTTCATCTTTAACAGGTCGTATACGGTTAAACATACAAGTTTGACCCATGCTTTTTTGCTTAAAGGTGAAGACCGAACTATATGCATGTTTTGTAAGATTCCCTTAACTGTTAAACATATTTTATTAGATTGTCCTGGACTTAATACAAGTAGAATGCTTTTTTTATGAAGTTACCTCACTTAAGGACTTATTTAGTAAGATTATGCCTGAAAAGGGTTTGGATTTTTTTTATCATATGTTAATTAAGAAAATCTTGTATAAAATGACTTGCTGTTTTTGTTTGTTTGGTTTTTATTGTATTTATATGATATTTGTATTTTTGTAATTTAATTTTTGCCATGAAAATAGCCTTGGATGCTGACATGGCACTAAATAAAACAATCTGAATCATCTTTAACAGAAACGTTCACCTGTCATTCAGAACTGTAAAGTCAGGAACAGGTCGGTTAACCTTCATCACAAGTGGTGCGTTGTGAGCATTAAAAATGCAACAAATCGTGTGGAATAAATCCATTTAGGTAAATATCTACCCAGACCTTCTGAGAAATGACATGGCAATGCTCTAAAAATCAGTCAAGTCAGAGCACACAAATCATGTATGGCCCTATCATTGTGGCAGTGACTTCTGCACAGGCAAACGCACATGTTTAACACAGAACATGTGAAAATGCAGTTAAACTAATTTGTTTATGTTGTCCTCTAGAGTTAACAAAGAAGAGCGCCCTCCTGTGGAAGGGAAGGGTAGTGTGTGGAGCAGGTGAGGATACTGTATATAATACAACCAGTACCTAACAGTCAGTTTGTGCATGGTATTTCCTTCTCTGAGCCCTTTGTTTTCTTGCAGGTTTAATCGTTTTCTAGGTTTGACAAAGGGTCAGTTAGCACCAGCCACAGCTTTAGCATTAGCCATCTCTCCCACGCCAGCGCCTGCACAAACACCAGTGGGGTCTCCACAGCATCTCTCCACGAGACCGCCCCAAACTGAGTGAGTCCTCTTGCATTGGCAGTTTTTTGGCATACTTCCTAATTGATAGTCTACCTGCTAATTTTTCTATGTATTATAAGTGATACATGATAGCTTGAATTTCAGGTCTCTAAGACCTTTGTTCATCAACAAATGACTTGTGGATCATTGACATTTTAAGAGCGTCCAAAAAAAAAAAAAAATTATCTCGATCTAAAAGTTCCAAAGTAATATGATTATGTTTTTGGGGAGGCGCAATACATTACCTATTTTACAACCTGAGCTAACCTCGCCGCCTTATGAAAAAAAGTAATTAGCTGATATTTTAAGAAACTTGTTGATACAGTCATGACGCTGTCTGTATTTCCTGTTTATACATTTTCTTTCTGCATGTTGGTTACACCATATGACTTTGATGATCACTCTGCCTGACTTGATATTTTTCAAAGTGAAGCATTTTTTTTTTTTTGCTGTTACATTTCACCCTGCGCGCAAAAAACTTCAGAGATTAAAAACATGACAATCACAGAAGAGATATATTCAAGTCATTGTATGTGTGAATTGCATTTTAATGTTCTTAAATGTAATAAATGTAATATATCTGTATGAATATAAACGTCATTGACTCAAACATACATTACCATTCAAAGGTTTTGGGTTGGTAAGATTTGTTAATGTTTTTGTAAGAAGTCTCTTATACTCACAGAGGCTGCATTTATTTGATCATAATACAGCAAAAACAGTAATATAATGAAATAGTGTTACAATTTAAAACAACTGTTTTCTATTTTAATATATTTTAAAATGTAATTTATTCCTGTAATGTAAAAAAAGCTGATTTTTCAGCATCATTACTCCAGTCTTCAGAGTTATAAAATCCTTCAAAAATCATTCTAATGTTGCTTAATATTTTTGTGGAAACTGTGATAAAAAAAAAGTCAGGAATCTGTGATGAATAGAAAGTTAAAAGAACAGCATATATTTTAAATATCCAAAGTTAAATATCATATTATATTATAAATGGACACTTTTGATCAAGTTAATGCATCCTTACCAAATAAAGTTATACATTTCTTTAATAAAAGAAAATATAATTGACCCCAAATTTTGAACAGTTGTGTGTATGTACTTAACCCTTAGTCACTGTTTGGGGTCATTATGACCCCACTGGACTTTTCCTTGATTTTTAAAAAATGTTCCCTTCATCTCAGGGCCATGAAACTCTGTGACTTTTCCTACATAATCAATCTAAATATGCACAAAAAAAGTCATTTTTTTTCATTTTGTTTGTCAAAAAAATAAAAGTAAATCCATTGTAAATCTGAAATGTTCTACATATAAACCAAGGTCTGGTCTTAGAGCATAAATAGATAGTAGAACAAACTTTCTATCTCATACACACACAGAGACACACACACACAAACACACACGTCATGACTGCAACAGAGAGCATTTTTACAGAAATTGGCAAATAAAATAAACAAAACTGGCATAAATCTAAAAAAAATAACATTTAAATCAAGGTCTGGTCCTAGAGCATAAACACAAAGTGGAACGAGCTTTCTATCTCCCACACACACACAAACACACACATGTATGCATATGTATGCATCCTGTTCATTACAGTTTATTGGTGCTGTTGTTTTGTATTATATTGGTTTATTTACTTGGTTTATTTAATTTATTTTGTTCTAAAATCTCTTGTTATAAAAAAATAAATAATTGTTGATAAATAATTTTCTGAAATAAATAGTGTGTGATTACAGTCATGTCATAGTGCTGACTTGTAATGTTTATGAAAATGTATGTATAATAATTTGCAAAAACAAATAATTCAAAATATATCAGACGACAACAACAAACTCTAACTTTGACATATATATTTTGTGAATTGCATAAAATATTTTTATCATATATATCAAGTTATGAGGGGAATTTGAAGCATCAATACAAATGAAGTGAAAATGAATGAGTCTCTATGGACCTCTATTGGACAGGTGTGGTCATTGCACTTTAATTCCTTATCTATAAGAAAAACAATTTTTCGACTAACCACCAGATGGTAGTATTTTATCCCTAACACATAGAGCAATGTCCAAAAACTATGTAGATTTAATTATCATCATCATTTAAGTGATTTTTTCTTTAAAAAATCATTTTTCATGTGCCAATTTATGGCCTAGTTATGTAATTGTGCAGTAAATATGTAGAAAACCTAAACATTTCCAAAAAAACACAGCATTATTGTATAGTTGAGGACTGAATAAAAAAAATGATATATAGAGTTTTCCATATAAAAAATTTATATTTCCTTATGCAATCACTCTTTAAAAGTTTGGGGTCAATACGACCCCAAACCACATAAGCGTTGTCCTTTTTAAACAGTGATTAAGGTTAATATAACTTTGATTACTTAGTGTGTTGTTGTTGTTTTTTTGCGCAGGACTTCTCCTTCTCCTTCTCCCAGGTTAAGGAAAAGAGAGTTGTACAGGGAGATCCGTTCTCATGTGTGGGGTAACCTGGGTAAAAAACAGCTCCATGGATGGAGCATGCCTCTCGCTGTTACAAACATAAAGGTAAACACACACACACATTATTCTTTAATTCAGTTGGTACCTATAGAAACAGAAGGACTAAAGCTGGCCGTCCCCAAAGTGTGACTTGCGAGTCTACTAATTGGGTATATGTCTAAAAATGTACAGTACATCATGAAAATGGCACTCTCAACAATACTGCTTAACTAAACTCCTCTTAGTGGGTTAATGAATCTGTTTGTTGTGTGTGTTTATGTGGAGCAGGACTCTGAAGCCCCTCCTGAGCCCAAAGACGTGCCCGTCCTCGTCCAGCTGAGACTGCTGGACCAGAGAGATGCTACAGCGAAGGTGAGGCTCACTCTTCACTCACTCAGGCTTAGCTTAGTGTTATTCATGTAATATTATTGTATTTATTATTATTTTGTAGGCATATTGCATAGTTGTGCTAGGAATTGAATTCAATTGCTTTATTTGTGAAACATGCAAAAACAAGAGAGAACCAACGAAATATTAATAATTGATTATGTTGCAGTAAATTTATGCTTTTTCCTGTTTTTCTATGCATTTAAAAAATAAGTTTTTTGCATAGTACAATAAAACCTTTTTTTTTTTTTTTTTTTGCCAAATCACTTTGTCAGATAAACACCTTAACCAAATTTAGAGTTTTGTTCTTCGCTCATATTTAAAATATTTTCTTCATATTTTGATGGTTTAAACTTTAATCAAACTTATCATTAAAAACAAATATCCTCTCTGAGTCTGGACATTACTGGCTACTAACTGTATATTTTATTATATTTTAGCTTTATTAAAATACAGATTACCGGTAACAGCGTTGAGCGCACCTACATACACACAGTTACTCAGAGTATTACTACGTTTTATGGCTGTCAATTGATTAAAACAATGAATCATGTTCTCTGCATTAACATGAATTGTCTTGAACCGGCTGAAATGTTCCTATAAATATATATTTTTTTCCAACTGCATTCTGAATAATAAATAAAAATATTTCCCCCACTAATCTGCAGCGGTCCAGTGCTCGTCTTCTCATTAACAGTGTTTTTCTCTTGACTTATTGATCATATTTCATACCTGTTGATTTTACATTTTTAAATGAATTTGACTGATAAAAAGGATTGCTTGTGTGCGCTAGTGCTCTTATTCCAGTCTTTTAAAATAGTTGAATGAATGAATGTGCTGAATGAATGAATGTGCTGTACATGCCTTAAATAAATGTAATGTTGTTAAATATTGAATTAATCTTAAACAGTAATGCACACAGTGTAGAGAAGAATGACAGTCAACTTCTTTGAACATGAATTAGGAATTTTGGCATAAACATGTCATTTTTATACAGTGAAATGATTGACAATGAAAAACACAGAATAAGGATTCAAATCTTTAATACAAATAAATAAAGTTTCGTAAGGATTGTATTCATCAGGTTTCACACAGTTCAGCATCATGTTCACTAGTTTAGACAAGCACTGACAGTGCTCAGATCGGCTTGGGTTGGATTCAGACTTCATGCTCTGTTGAGTTTGGAAAAATCTTTACACAGAATATCTCTTCTCCTGTCTCTAAACATGTCCAGATTTTTAAGTCTTCTTGCCGACAATAATTTTAAGTAGCATTTAGTCAACTAGGTGACTACAGCACATTGAAAACATAAATAACTGGAAGTAAATTAGTACTATTTCAAAATGGAAGTGCGTCACGAAGCTCAATGCAAGTAGTCCATTCAGGTTAACTTAGGATATGGTCAATAATGCTAATTGTTTCTCAGGTTGAATATATTATTTTTAAGGTGCTTAATGTCATACGTCACCATAATCTACAGTTTTACTATGTTTTCCACATTCCTCTGCTGCGTGTCTAGTCCTTCACTGATTTTAGCCCGTTGAGAGCAAGGGTCAGGGATTTACAAGACATGAATTTATACATTTTCAATTTTTTGCAGCTCACATGTGCTGTTGCGGTTCCTCCTGAGATATCAGGAGAGCAGACGGTATGTTCAAAAAAACATCAATCTTTTACGGCTGATTAACATATACATGGTTTCCACCCCTTCATTTTTATGAGTTTTATAGTCATTTGTAATTACTGGATAAGGGTTTTTAAAAATGATTTCATACACATTACACTCATTAAGAGCCAATTTTCTCGGTTTAAATATTTTAGAGACTGAAGTAACTAGAATGAAACTGTGGGGAAAGGTTTGACTGGAAATCCCAGTTTTAAAGTATTTTCAGGTTTTTATGAATGTGGGAACCTTGTATTACAGAGCAGGTTCTTGGCTTGTACAAAAATGCATTTAATCACCACCTTCATCTAATTACCATGTTGCGTCATGTCAGTCATTGTTGTAAACATTTCACCCCCCGCCTCCCATCCTCAGTGTTCTGTGTGGGCCGTCACTGGACCTGCTTCCAGCAGTGATGTCACTGTGATTGACCCGGCTCGCTCCAATACCATTCTGGATCAGTTCAGCCTTCCACCCACGTCCCCTGCATTATGCATCTGTGTTGTGCCCCCTACCGGTCAGTCTGAATTTACACTGGCGTTCACACCTGGACAGTTCTGAAGGCAGGGGTGTAAGGCGCTTTACTTGAGTATTACTGAAACTGAATGATTCGTTTTTGGTAGGGTCGGTAAGATTAAAAAAAAAATGTTTTTAAAAGAAGTCTCTTATGCTAACCAAGGCTGCAATTATTTAATTAAAAATACAGTAAAAATGTTGTGAAATATTATTACAATTAAAATGAACTGCTTCCTATTTTAAAATATAATTTATTCCTGTGATGGTAAAGCTGAATTTTGAGCATCATTACTTCAGTCTTCAGTGTCACATGATCCTTCAGAAATCATTCTAATATGATGATTTTGTGCTTAAGAAACATTTCGTATTGTTATCAATGTTAAAAATGTAAAATATAGTAAAAAAGAAATCAGTATTCTTTGATGAATAGAAAGTTCAAATGAGAGCATTTATTTGAAATATACATTTTATGTAACAGTGCAAAAGTCTTTACTGTCGTCCTTAATGCGTCCTTTCTGAATAAAAGTGTTAATTTCTGTATAAGAAGAACTTACTGAGCCCAAACTTTTGAACAGCAAGTGTACATATTTTCAAGGTCATTACGACTTAAATCAAAATCTTATTTGGTCTTTCTTACTGCTTTACCAATCAGTTTCATTTTACTTGTATGTAAAACAGCCAGTGAAGTCAATTTTACTGTAAAATGTAAAGAGTAAAGTGTCCTCCTGAAAAGACCCCAACATAGTATTTAACCTGAAGTAATACAGTAACTTTATATAGTGCATTTAGTTAGTAACCATAATTGGAATAAAATTTAACAATGAATCTATAGTATTAACAAATTCTTATTTTAACTACATTTATAGTCTGAAAGACATACAAAGTCTGGACTTCTGAGAAAACTATTTACAACAGGTTGCTTTACAAAGTTTATGTGTTACTTAAATGGCAAATTCTCCTCGGCCTCCTGATTTCTACTGTCTGATTTCTACTGTCCAATTACAACGCAATTACACTTAATTCTACAACAACTACACTTACCTTTTAAATACTTAAGAACATTTATTTTGTGGCTTATTTTTTTAGCTAGATGTTTCTTTGACATTTTTTCTACACTTTATGTATAATTACTATACCTTTTACACCCCTGTCTGAAGTTAATAGTTTCATATTTTCATGACATTTAGCTGCTTTATTAAACTTTCATGGCATATTGCTTAAAATTGTATTCATATCTACTGCCCCCGCAGTTTGATATTGTCAGAATGACGTAATGTTGGTGAGTTGTACTGATGAAGTCTTAACTCTTGTGTTAGGAGACACTGCAGGAACTGTGTGGATTGGAACACAGGATGGAGGGTAAGTGCATCTCATTTTGATACATTTGATCTTATTTTAGTGGTTTTGTTTAAATCTCTAACATTTAGTATTAAAGTTTCATACATAGCTCATTTTATGGAAATAAATAATAACTCGAATTGTCCGGCTTGTTGTGGAGAGCTATTACTATTCAAAGCAACTGGAAACAATTTTCACATGGTTGATAATGGAACGAGCAAAAAAACAAAAAACACCCAGAACATCTAGCATTTTCTTAAAGCTACACTTTGTAACTCTTTTTTTTTTTTTTTTTTTTTAAATCATAAAACCATCTTCCAAACCATGTTTTTGCCTTACCGTAAATCACTATGGTAAGTCTAATAATTATATATATTTTAGAGTTGTCAGGACATATTTATTGGGAATCTGCATACTTTCATAAATCGTCCCTGTTTTTACAGCATATCTGTAAATAAAGGAAAGAAGGTATGCAGTGAACTGAACTTCTAGCCAAAAATTGTTTGCAAGCAAAAAGGGAAAGCGGCAGACCCCGTAATAAAACATGAATCAACATACTTTGCATCACATTTGCTGTGCATTGACTAGGTTCACAAACAATGTATATGTTGGTAATTATGCCAATCTCTAAACAACTTACTACTTTGTTTTGTTTGCCTATAAATAGCCCAGGCAAGTTATAATAGCTTCCACCATTTTGTGAAATAAATAACAGTCATAATGTCTAATGTCAGCGTTGACAATCTTTTGTAAGGTTACTTTAAGTAACAGGTACAGCATGGAAGAGGGGGTTTTGGGCTCAGTTTAGCTCCTCCTAAATGGCACAAGGCAGGCCCAGCTCAAAGGAGGAAGCTGGTAGTCAACGAGGTGCGAAAGCAGGAGGAGAGGATGAGGTGTATAAAGGCCATTTCCCAGGCCAAGCAGGGAGAGTGGATGAGATGGGAGAGTGTGGAACAATGCAAGATGGGCTGGCAAGACCTTTGGTCAATGGAAGAGAGTAGGATCAGTTTCCTTATTAGGTCAACATATGATGTTCTCCCATCACCGCAGAACCTAAACCTCTGGGTAGGAGAGGATCCCTCTTGTCCTTTGTGTTCATCACCTGCCACATTAAGGCACATTTTGACAGGATGTAAGGTGGTTCTTAGCCAAGGTCGGTTTACTTGGCGCCATGACCAAGTACTGCGATGTTTGGCTTTAGCACTGGAAGGCAAGCGTAGTATGACCAATAAGTTGCCGCCTGTTCTAGCAAGACATTACACGCAGAAGACAATATTCCTCCGCCCAGGCGAGCAACCACCAAGAAAAGGTGCTAACACCAATTCTCGCCCAGGACAACTGGAAGCTGCTAGGGACTGGAAGATGCTGGCTGATCTTGATCAACGGCTTATTTTTCCACCTGAGATTGCCACCACTAACCTACGACCAGACATTGTTTTGTGGTCTGGATCAGCACGCATTGTTCAACTGATAGAGTTAACAGTGCCATGGGAGGATGCGGTAGATGAGGTATATGAGAGGAAGAAACTGCGGTATGCTCATCTGGCCACTGAAGCAGAACAGCGAGGATGGAGAGTCCAGGTTTATCCAGTAGAAGTGGGTTGTCGAGGTTTTGTGGCACACTCTACAACCCGGTTCCTCAGAGACGTCGGATTTAGCGGCCAAGAGTTGCGTCGCACAGTAAAGAACTTATCTGAAGCAGCAGAAAGGAGAAGCAACTGGCTGTGGTTGAGACGGAAAGATTCTGGCTGGTTGTGTGCAGGCCGCCACGCTACGGTTTCGTAGAATTCTTGAAAACTTGAAGAGTCTGTTGGTTTATTTGGATAGGTTGTATAGTATTTACAGTCATTACGTTCCTGTGGATATTGCGTGAATGACGGGTGGTTGGGCAGATATTGTGTTTTGCGGTAAGTGGTATGCCATACGGAACCGTTGTCCACTGAAACTGCATATTAACGCACCAGTGGGGCTCGACAGCCTTAGTCAAACGGGTTGGCGCCTATGGTCGGGTTGCGGAGAGATTGTGGTTAGGTCTCAGCAGCAGGAGGGATGTAGAGGTCAGTAAGCTGGACTGAGTTGAGTGGGGGACGGAGAGGGGTGACTCTGGGACGCCAGAGTCACTGTCGAGCCCTCTTGAGGTGTCGTGGGCTAGTCGACGAAACACTGAGGACGGAAGGTGCCCACTTGAAGACCCTAGAGATGTCCCCTACTCGGCTCAATCCAGACGTTTGTTGTGCTGGTCCACTAGGGAGACCACACTGTAGTTGCAGCCGTCGTGTGTGCTGACGCGCCAAGTACACTGCAGTCGTTAACGCCGGACAGAAGGGCAGTCACACCACCACGTGGAAAGAAGCGTAAATGGATGGAGAAGCATAGTTTACTGTAAAGCTACGTCTTAGTGTTGCTTATCTTGGCGAAAGCCGAGTACAAATCAGCATGAAGTTTTTAACATCTACTCTCGTGTAATGGAAATCATAAAATAATTGATTACAAGTTAAAAAAACACACAACTGCTTGCTCATTGGACAAATTTTTCAGATACATCAGATTCATATCAGATTCATCCGTGCAGAATAGCAGATCCAAAGCACAACTCACATAATGATCTAAACAATGTTCCAGCGCAAGTAACTTGTAGTTTTATGCTTCAACCACTAGAGGCCCAAAAGTATGGAAGCTTGTTTTCTCTACTATGGAATAATATATAATAATATCTAACAGTTCAGACTTTTTTTTTCAGAATTGCGAGATATAAAATTTCCTTCTGAGGAAAAAAAGTCTGAATTATGTGAGATAAAATGTCGCAATAACTTTTTTTTTTATTATTCTGACAAACTTCCATAATAGGGTACATATAGTAGCTTTAAAAAAAAAAGAAGTAAAATCTAGTTGTCATCAGAAGTTGTTTTAGGCAACATAGCAATTAAGATGTTTCATCATCTCCTGTTGTCCTCTTGCAGAGTGCTGATTCACTCATCCTCCAGCTCCAGGCGCCGCTGTCTGCAGTCTGCCAGTCTCTCTGAGGGGGTGCACTCTCTGACGTCAGTGTCTTCACAATGACTCGCATTTATTGTTATCTTTGATGTAAATGGAATGCTGGAGGTTCCTGATTGAATTCCTTCTGTGTATAAAGGTATTCTCAGGGCGAGGTGATCGCTGGCTTGGCCAATGGGACGCTTGCATTCTTCACCCATAATTCAGGTGTGTTTGTGCTTTCATCTGTCTGGGTGTGTTATTTAGATGTGAATTGTAATGGCTTGTATTGACCATATTTACAGCCATCTGGAATCTTCAGTCTCAAGAGGTGCTTTCTCTCGGCACACCACCTTTGCAGCCCATTCGCTGTTGCCTGGCAAAGGAGGGGTGTCTTTGGGTGGGATACTGGAATAAAGTTTACATGATCAGTACGAAAAATCGGAAAGTAGAGGTTGGTCACGAATGGAATTGTTCATCTTGTGCTTCTCATCCCTCACCCTCATCCTGACTCTTTCACTTACACTTGTTCTTTCTGTCCATTTAGAAATCGTTCACAGTGTCTGAGCGATGTGAGCAGCAGGTGCGTTTTCTGTGCGCAGCAGGAAGTGGGGTTTGGGCTTCCTGCCGTTTGGATCCCATACTTAGGCTTTTTGATTGGACAACTGGCCGTCCACTACAGGAAGTAGATTTATCATCTATAGTGACTAAAGCTTTAGGTATTTGAATTGTATTCATTCATTGATAGGGATATTTTATGGAATTTTACATGCATGGGTGTCACGTTTTTTAGATATACTGTATGCTACCATTAAAACGTTTCAGGTCATCGTTTGAGGTCTTTTCTTCTTTCTTTTTTTACCCCTCTCCATTTGACAGGTTCTGCGTTCCTGTCTCTGTCTCCTCTTCAGATCACAGCCTTGTCTGTGGTCAGCGGGCGGCTGTGGGTGGGCACGGGAAGGGGTGCAATCTTCTCAGCTCCCCTGTCACTCAGTAAGTGTTTTTTCACACTAAAATAAACTTTTCTTGTGTGGTTTTGAATGATAAAACTTCTACATTGTTTGAATTTACTTTTTTTTTTTTTTGTAGGTTCAGAGTCCTGCTCTATACCATATTGTTCTCTTGCATCAGCTCAGCTCTGTTATCATGGCCACCGACAAGCAGTTAAATTCATTATTTCTGCTCCAGGTTCGAAACTTGTTAACTTTCAGTAAAGCTGTGTGTCAAAAAAAGCAAAACCTTTTTTTCTTGAGGCTTGCCTATGTTTCAAAATGCTTTCAATTATGGGAGCGTCGTGTTTTTTAAAACAGCAGCAGCGTGACGAGGCGCTGAGCGCTCAGCGTTTTTTTACCGGTCGCCTAGAGTTGAAGAATGTCCAACTTTGGGTAAAACGCAGCACTCATCACTGTCACTTTTTATCCAGCCATCCAATCTCAGTGGAGAAGGGGCGGGTCAAATGCAACACCGACCAACCGTCACATTCTGCTTGTACAACGATAACAACAAGCACATCTCTTCATCTAAAACTAGTGGCAGAACAAGTGCATTACATTCAGACTTTTTTTTTTTAAAAGTCAGAAACAAACTATTTGCAAAATCAGATACTAGTAACTGTTCGCGGATACTCCGTATCCGCACATATAGAGTCTCGACTGAATAAAACGAGGGCACTTCGGCGGCGCAGCAAGCGTCCGCAGAGTGCTGGTGTTTTCAACTGGCTAAAAACGCTTTGGTGGACACATGGCCTTGCTCTGGCACTAGTTTTGGATGAAGAGATGTGCTTGTTGTTGTCATTTATTATTGTTGTACAAGCAGAATGTGATGGTTGGTCTGGATTTGTCCCACCCCTTCTCCACTGTGATTGGACGGCTGGAAAAAGTGACAGTGATGAGTGCTGTGTTTTACTCATAGTTGAACATTATCAACTCTCAGCGACCGGTAAAAACCAAGTGGCAACCTTCCGGCCGCTAGGGACAGGCTGCAAAAGAGAGTCAATCCCATATACTCCCTATGTTAAAATGCCCAACTTTACAGCAGAAAAAAACATGTTTACAGCCTGGTACAAAAAGTGGTTTTGGTCTATAAAGCTAATTTTGCCCTTCATGAAAACTGTGAGGGGGGTGAATTTTTTTTATTACTCATCGGTTTAAATTATATTTAGCCTTAAAGTTTTGCATAATTAAGGGCGTGGCCACTTGAGTGACAGGTGGATTGCCGCTGCTGTCACTACTAGCCGTTTGTCTGCTGTCTCAGCTAATCACGCCTTTTTGCCCATTTTTGCTTATCCAGAAGTGACGCGCGGCCAAGATGGCGATGGCCGGCTCTGCCCACTTTGGGCTTCAATAAATGCGCTTCAGAAACCTACGGGTGTCTATATTTTTTTTACAGTCTATAGTAAAAACCACCGAGCCTCGTCACGCTGTTGCCGTTTTAAAAACGTGGCGCTCCCATTGAAAACAACTGGAAAAATACGATAGCCACTGGGAAAAACTTTTTTTTTTGGTGAACACGGCCTAAGAGTAGATGGAAGACCAGTATTGACACCAGTTTAGGGTGTAATATTTACAATTGCCTATTTTTAACCACTTTGTTTCTTTCTGGCCTTTTTTAATCAATGCAGGCTGCCGTAGTTCCTCCAGTTCAGCAGATGGCGCTGCTACTACCTCTCTGCTCATTCTCAGTGGAGGGGAAGGATATATCAACTTCCGAATTGGTGCGGCTTTCCTCTTGGCACAATTATTATATCACAGCTTTATGTATTTATTTTATTCTTCCATTGAGAATGTTTTATAAAGATGAGAAGTATATAATTAAATATTTGTCCCTCTTTAGGAGATGATGGAAGTGATGGGGCCAGTGAGAGTGTCCTACAGAGATCAGAGCGAAGTCACATGATTATTTGGCAGAGCCCCACCCCCTCCATCCCAAGCCCCGCCCTCTGAAAGCACTTCAGCTGTTCACTCAAACTGTCTTTGAGCTCTGTCAATATGATCAAGCGCACTACATAGTACAATGCATTACTGTTCTTCTGTTCCCTTTCTATAGATGCTCCCAAAGGGAAGCCTGAAGTCAAAGTAAAGCAGTAACATAAAGCATTTTCTAAGAAATGTTATAATGTAACACTCAATCTGCACTTTTATTTTACTTGTTTTGGGGTGAACTGACTTTAATTGGCATTGTCTTTTTTTTAGGTTTCATAACAGCTCAACTGGCTTCTCTCCAGTGTGCCTTATTTTTTGTGGTTTCAAATTCTGCCCTGTATTTGGCCGGTGTTTTTTTTTTTTTTTTTACACAATCCTAAAATACTGGAACAACTGGTTGTGACTGTGATGCTTGGCCAGGAATTATTACTATATTTTTATTTATTTTTTTATTTCAAATCAAGGGGAGTGATATATTTAAACCAATATGCTGTTGGTCATGACATGCAGTGCTCTGAAAAATACTCAGTGTTGGTTGCTTGTCATGTGCATTAGATCAATTGGAAAATTTGCACACACAAAAAAAACAACAATGACAAAAAGCTGACCTAGATTGACACACTACCTACATTTTGACTTTTTTTTTTTTTAAACAAATTAGGTTTGGTGTTGAGGGTAAGGTTTTATTTTTAATTTTATTATTGGTTGTTGGTTTCTAAGTTTGTTGTGAAATGAATGGAGGCTTCTGTATGGCAATTTTTGCAGTATTTTTTGAATGAGGAAATATGTGGCTCTGCCTATTTAATGAAAGCGAGAGAAAGAGACTAAATGTTTAGTTAACTGGAAAACGTTGCATATTGTAATATGGAACTTTGTAAATAAATAAATGTTCTCTATAGTTAAAGTCTGAAAAGTGTTTCTGTATTGTTAAAATAACGCACCAAAGATTGAATGTATCATTTTAATTTATTAATTTATCAGTGTTTTGAATTTGATCAAATTTCATGTTTTGTACACAAGAAGAAATATTAAAAGTTTTACAGCAAAAAAAAAAAAAAGTTGAAATAGAAAAACAGTTTTCACTGTCCTAAATAGTATACAAAAATATACACATTTTCATCATTTTTTCTACAATGAGAGTTGCACTACAGTACAGATTCTATAAAATGACTAATTTCGTGGTAGTAGTAATTGGAAACACCACATTGTAACAAATCTGTCAACCTTCAGATTCTTTTCCTCCTCTTCCAACTGAGATTTTAGCCTAAATGTTGGTATCCCAGCCCTGTGTATGTGCTCTCTGCCATGCCCAGGGGTCAGGATGTGCGGTGGTCGCGGTGGGGTCTCCGTATGCGGCGACTGAGGCTGCGAGCGAACCGCTCCACAACAGTGTGTTTGTCTGTCAGCTCCTTCTCTGATATTAAACCATCAATATTCCCACTGTACCACATGACCCAAGCCCCCATAGACATCAACACCAGCAGAGCTCCAGAATACACCAACAGATCACCAAAGTCACGACCACCTATTTCAAGCGGGACGAAGATGCCGATCAAGAGGATAGAAACACCGAAAAGATCCATGAGGACTGCGAACACCAGGAGAAACTTACAGTGGGTCAGTCCAACGTGGTCAGTACTAGACATGGTGACCATCCCTCTGACATGTAGCCTAAATCAGAAATGGAAAGAAAAAAATATGTAAAAATCAGCAAGACTAGACTAAAGAATAATCTTTAAAAAATAATCACTATTCTAGAAGGAACACATTTAATATGGCTAAGGTTTTAACATTCTAAGTAGGCTATGCACTCTTTACCTGAAGGAACTCATTTTATTTTACATCAATATACATCTAAAAGTAAAGTAGCTAAAGCACTAGCTAATAAAAAAAGAGATCTTGGTAACACTTTAGGCTACTATAAGGTTAATTAGTTAATGTAGGCTATTAACGTTGTTAGTTAGTTAATTAAAATACAGCTGTTGTTTGTTCACAGCGCAATAACGAACGCTAACAAATACAGCCTTTGATTTTAACAATGTATTAGGCTACATGTTGAAATTAATATTAACTAAAGATCAATAAATGCTGTAGAAGTAGCCTATATTGTTCATTCTTAGTTAAGGTAGTTAACTAACCTTATTGTAGTTTTACCGATCTTTTATGCGAGAAGAAATGGGGTGGAAAACCGAGTTCAACTGTTGAACCAACCGAACACTGCTTTCCAAAAAGAATAAAACCAAGTAGCTACGCTAGCCTATACTAAATAACGATTATCATTCTACTTACCTTTTATCGCGGAAATTATGTTCGTTTGCAAAACTGACAAGGAAGACTTATTTAGATGATAAACATTTTGGTGGTTTGTGTTTTTCCTGGCTTCTTCACCTGCGCTCCAAATAACTTCGACGTCACGTACAGGTGATGTCACATGACAAGCTCGCTCGCAAGCGCTTTAACGGCTGCCATTTTACGCGTTTCATTATTCAGTTTTTTGCTTATTTTAATTGCAAAATATTTTTTTGCGTTTTAAATTAATTAACAATTCTTTAAATGATATCTATCTATCTATCTATCTATCTATCTATCTATCTATCTATCTATCTATCTATCTATCGGCTTAAATAACGACTCTTTGTGTGTGTGTGTGTGTGTGTGTGTGTGTGTGTGTGTGTGTGTTCTTGTTTTTCTATCCCGGTGGGGACTTCAACCTGAACGCACACAGACTCGTGGGGACTCGTGTCACCGTGGGGACCTAAATAGAGGTCCCCACGGGCAAAGCCCCTCAGGCACCTCCCAAACAGTGTTTGGACACGCCCCATGTAGTTTTTTTTGAAGTCCTCATGAGGGCCATTTTCAAGACAAAAATCTGTGTTAGTGTATATCTAGGCGCCCCTGGTGGTCACACAGAGTATTGCCGTCCCCACAAGTCACATTGTTCCGGAAAAGTGCGGCACTCTCTAGCTCCCTATTGGGGGTATTGGTCAATAATAGAATTACAATTTGGCAATCTATTTTAAAAATGTGTCTTTTTACTAAAGATATGAATTAATAGGGTTTTTAATTATTTATATTTATACATTAGTATAATATTTAGTTATTTATATTACTTTATAAAATAAACTGAATTAAATAAATGTGCTGTTGGTGCACTAGAATGAAAATTCTGGAAAGACTGAGTCACAAACAGAGAATTTTTTTTTTTTTTTTAGCAAATTCTTTGTTTTATTTATCGTAAGGCATCAAATGATTAGAATATAACTGATCTGTTAAAAATGCCATTTATGTAATTTATCATGGATCTGTCTATATTCATATAGTCATTATTGATGACAATAGGAAAGAAATCTAAACGAGGTTAGCCAACTCCAGGTGTTTCAGTCTCGCTTCTGTGGGGACTGGTTTATGTGAGAGGATCATCTACAAAATCTACATGAATTAATTGTCAGTTTAGGTTAAAAACACTTCAAAGTGATTTTGTTAAAGTAATTAATACATTATTATATCATTACTCTAATATATTATTATCATTTAATTATAATCTAATTAAATCATGATCAGTAAATGATATACAGATTTTTCACTCTGGGCTACCCCTCTGACAGAGCCTTTCTGCATACATTAAACAGAATTCAAAGAATGTACTTTCAACAGATCACTAATAAACTTTTATGAAATAAACTCATATGAAATTAATAAATGAACAGGCCCTGACTATATACAATCTTGTTTCTAAAATTGGCAGCTGCTGTTTATTTAATCTTCTGGCTTTCTTTTTAATATATCACTACATACAACTGAGATTCAACAGATTTGGTCATCTTTTTTAGTCATTCCTTTGCACAAATGGTGTAATATTTGATAACTACAAACATTCTACAAAGCTCTGTGCTCTCTCAAAAGCCTTAAAAGTGAACTACTAACACACTATTTTTATATAAATGTTTCATGACTTTATTATCTTGTAAATGCTACCCGCTAGGCTAACAGAGCAGCACATTATACCCTCATCATACATCATATCTCACAGTTTTAGCAGCCTTCCAATACCCTGTACCCTACAGATGCTGTGAGATAACAGAGAGACTGATATTGCTTTAGCAGGACCTGGAGAGAGCTCATTGTGGGAGAATGGGACCAGATACACCTCTTTTCATGAAGCTAATGGAAGTGAACAGTGCAGAGTGTGAGAGAAACAGATGCTGGATCAAAAGTTAAGAAATAATCTCCTGATCCAGCATCAGATGTGCTGCTAGTGAAGTAGAAGCGGGGCAATGATCACTTTCTAAAAACATGGCGAATGCCTGTGTAATTGCTGATGTAAGCATGTGCCAGCGTATGCACTCCAGTTCACAGTGTCACACCAGGAACAGCTAAAGGCCACAGTGGAGCACTGATCATCACCAATAGTCATGTTAGCAGAGCAGCTAATAGAGCAAGCATGGTATGAAGCAGAAATGCTATCAGCATCTGAGTGTGGTGGACCAGTACCTCTCAGAGCAGCTCCTAACACTAACCCTAACCTATCTATCAGCATCTGAGTGTGGTGGACCAGTACCTCTCAGAGCAGCTCCTAACACTAACCCTAACCTATCTATCAGCATCTGAGTGTGGTGGACCAGTACCTCTCACGGCAGCTCCTAACACTAACCCTAACCTATCTATCAGCATCTGAGTGTGGTGGACCAGTACCTCTCACGGCAGCTCCTAACACTAACCCTAACCTATCTATCAGCGTCTGAGTGTGGTGGACCAGTACCTCTCACGGCAGCTCCTAACACTAACCCTAACCTATCTATCAGCATCTGAGTGTGGTGGACCAGTACCTCTCAGAGCAGCTCCTAACACTAACCCTAACCTATCTATCAGCGTCTGAGTGTGGTGGACCAGTACCTCTCAGAGCAGCTCCTAACACTAACCCTAACCTATCTATCAGCATCTGAGTGTGGTGGACCAGTACCTCTCAGAGCAGCTCCTAACACTAACCCTAACCTATCTATCAGCATCTGAGTGTGGTGGACCAGTACCTCTCAGAGCAGCTCCTAACACTAACCCTAACCTATCTATCAGCATCTGAGTGTGGTGGACCAGTACCTCTCAGAGCAGCTCCTAACACTAACCCTAACCTATCTATCAGCATCTGAGTGTGGTGGACCAGTACCTCTCAGAGCAGCTCCTAACACTAACCCTAACCTATCTATCAGCATCTGAGTGTGGTGGACCAGTACCTCTCAGAGCAGCTCCTAACACTAACCCTAACCTATCTATCAGCATCTGAGTGTGGTGGACCAGTACCTCTCAGAGCAGCTCCTAACACTAACCCTAACCTATCTATCAGCATCTGAGTGTGGTGGACCAGTACCTCTCAGAGCAGCTCCTAACACTAACCCTAACCTATCTATCAGCGTCTGAGTGTGGTGGACCAGTACCTCTCAGAGCAGCTCCTAACACTAACCCTAACCTATCTATCAGCATCTGAGTGTGGTGGACCAGTACCTCTCAGAGCAGCTCCTAACACTAACCCTAACCTATCTATCAGCGTCTGAGTGTGGTGGACCAGTACCTCTCAGAGCAGCTCCTAACACTAACCCTAACCTATCTATCAGCATCTGAGTGTGGTGGACCAGTACCTCTCAGAGCAGCTCCTAACACTAACCCTAACCTATCTATCAGCATCTGAGTGTGGTGGACCAGTACCTCTCAGAGCAGCTCCTAACACTAACCCTAACCTATCTATCAGCATCTGAGTGTGGTGGACCAGTACCTCTCAGAGCAGCTCCTAACACTAACCCTAACCTATCTATCAGCATCTGAGTGTGGTGGACCAGTACCTCTCAGAGCAGCTCCTAACACTAACCCTAACCTATCTATCAGCATCTGAGTGTGGTGGACCAGTACCTCTCAGAGCAGCTCCTAACACTAACCCTAACCTATCTATCAGCATCTGAGTGTGGTGGACCAGTACCTCTCAGAGCAGCTCCTAACACTAACCCTAACCTATCTATCAGCATCTGAGTGTGGTGGACCAGTACCTCTCAGAGCAGCTCCTAACACTAACCCTAACCTATCTATCAGCATCTGAGTGTGGTGGACCAGTACCTCTCAGAGCAGCTCCTAACACTAACCCTAACCTATCTATCAGCATCTGAGTGTGGTGGACCAGTACCTCTCAGAGCAGCTCCTAACACTAACCCTAACCTATCTATCAGCATCTGAGTGTGGTGGACCAGTACCTCTCAGAGCAGCTCCTAACACTAACCCTAACCTATCTATCAGCACATTGACCTCTGTGGTTCCAAATGCTGGTGACAACAAGTGCCAAATCATTATGGCTACTCTGACAAGGTGAACTCAAATCCTGGAAATGATGAGCACTACAGTATATCATAATCATTAGTCTAACACATGCCAATGTATGGATGACGTAGGCTACATGTACGTGCATGTCCACAACACTTATTTCTGTTTAAGTGAGGTGTTGTATATAGTTTCATGTCATTTTGGGAGAATCTGAACCAGTAGCTAAGCCAGAAGGGTGTCCAGTGTGGAAAAACTGCATCATCATTTGTTGAATTATTTTTACCATGTGTTATTCTTACCCTAAATTAAATCATGTGCTAGTATTTGACAATTCATTTATATAGTTTGCAAATATAGTCTTTTCCCATTCT